GGCTTTCAACCGCTCGGCTTGCATTGTCTGGAAGTAGTAAGAGGAGCTAGCCATATCTTTATATTGTGGGAGAGGTTTAAGGACTTCGACCACTTCACTCATTTTCGGTCTTATTTTGGAGTCACGGCTAAGGCATTGGGCTGCAAGCTGAGTCACTTTCTGAGCTCCTTTGATGGAGAAATGACCCTCCAGCCTCGGATCAAGCAACCGGTAGAATCTTCTTTTGTCGAGAAGATGCGGTCTTGCCCATTCCACGAGGTTGTGTTCGCCATTTGGTCGGTTTTTGTCCATAGATCTTCGACCAGTCAGCATTTCTAGTAGCACCACACCAAAACTGTAAACATCGCTCTTTGATGTCAAGTGGCCTACAAGCAGTGATAAACAGACAGTTGTTAATCTCAAATCGAAGAAAATTGCTGTACATATTATCCTAGGAATTAGCCGTGTCCAATCCGGTTTAACTAAACCAAACAACCAGATCTAGAAACAAGCTGAAGAGCAGATCTACCATTTCTGTTTCATCCATATCCAACAAAACAGTAACCGAGAATTAAATAACCCAACTGAAACCTTTCTTTTATACTATTTTCTAACTTTCTGTTTTCCATTCGGATCAGTGCCAATAGAGAAAAAATAAGTAAAGTGAAGAAAACGCAAAAAATCAAAGCAACACTTACCAGTCATTACATACTCCGGAGCAGCGTAACCATAAGTGCCCATGACTCGAGTTGACACATGGGTTTTGCCTTCATCAGGAGCATCTTTGGCAAGCCCGAAATCTGATAGTTTAGCATTGTAGTCCTGGAATTGGAATATTGGTAAAAAGATAAGAAGCAAGGAAAAAGGCATATATAGATGTCAATGTAAGTAAAGGAAACATACTGCATCTAGTAAAATGTTTGAGGTTTTGAAATCCCGATAAATAACCGGCTTTAGAGCTTCTTCGTGAAGGAAACTGAGCCCTTTTGCAGCACCTAATGCAATCTTCATCCGAATAGACCATGGCAGAGGCAAGGACCCTTCAATGAGAGCCACAAGGTAATTCACAAGGAAAAGATTTAACATCAGACGTAACTGAGAAGACAAACCATAGAAAAGCATTATGCCCTTATAAACACACTTTATACATAGAAAGTCTTGAAACTAAAGCTATGGATGAATGGCTTTACTTATTGTTAGTCGGTCAGTATAGTCAAGCAAAATAAACCATCTAAGAATTGGCACTGAAAAGGATCCAATTAGAACAATATACAGTAGAAATGTTCCAACTTTCATTATATAGAGTCTAAAGGTTCCAACTTTAACAATATGGAATAGATGCTTCTTAAACTGTAAACTTTTGCTATCCGAATGGCATACAAAGAAAAGAAAGAATTAAATTTTACAGCGCAAATAACGATTTGCTTACTTCTGAAAAGGTGATTCTCCAAACTTCCTCGAGGCATAAACTCATATACCAGCAGCCTTTGATCATCTTCGATACAATAACCCACCAGCTTAACAAGATTGGGATGGAGAAGATTACCGAGATAATTGATCTCAGCCTGAAAATGCATAAAACAGGAACCTTTTAGTTGTGGTAGGTTACGATAATGGAAAAGCATATATGGAAGAAATCAGAACAAAAGGATCTTACAAGCCACTCTTTATGACCCTGAAGTCCATCAGGATTTAAGGTTTTGACCGCCACAGTAAGTCCAGTACCAGGCTTAACAGGAGCAGTCCCGTTCTCCTCGACCCACCCTTTAAAGACACAACCAAACCCACCTTCGCCAAGAAGACTCTCCGGTCTGAAATTTCTAGTTGCCAACTTGAGATCAATGAAAGTAAACTTCTTTAGGTGCGAATAGGTCTTAAGTTCTTCACTTATCATTGGAGTCGACAAAGAGCTTTCAGCATTGCTAGTTGTTGTTGTAGAAGAAACCGGGCCAATCGGTTGATCATTTGATTTCTCATTTGCCGACTTACTTCCCACTGTTGAAGCAAACAAGAACTGTCATTACAAAACCATTCAAATGTCCTTCCTACAATTGCTGTTTGATCATCCTTCTGACAAAAACTAAATGGTAAGAAGAGAAAAAGTTTTCTTTTACAGCATACTGATCTAACTAAGCACATGATATCGAAATATCCCCTGAGGCAACCACAAAACACAGCACAATTCACTTTGAAGCAAGGAAATCTCAACTATCTCAAGAAGACAAAGTTCATCATCAGAGCTTCAAAGCAAAAAAAGAAAAAGAAATCGTTTAGCAAATTATAAAAGGGCAACTCAAGATATATAGATTCTAATTCGGATTAGCACCAACTTAGTTTGGCCTGAATTCTCTAAGTTAGGTAAACCAACCACAATGACATTAAGGTTTTGCTCAGTTTGTCAAACGGGGGGCAAAAACCCTAGATGGAAACATAAGTCTTGTAACAATTGTAGGAACAAAATTCCACATAAATTTAGAAGGTTTTATCACAAATCGGCATTGAAAATCCTATCTTAAGCTCGAACTGCAGAACCAAATGGACCAGAGAAAAGACCCAT